ATGCTGGGGAAGGTGGAGGGAAGGAGGAAGAGAGGAAGGCCACAGGACCCTATTATTAAGGAGGTCCCTATGGGGATTTATGAAGGGGCTGCAGGATTTAAGCAGAACAGTGGAGGACAGAGGATCTTCTTGGAGAGGTGTCATAGGGTTGCCATGGGTTGAGACCCACGTGAAGGCAGTTAACAACAACAACAACAACAACAACAAAAATGATTCCACCTTATTTATGAACATGTTTTTTTAAGTCAGGGATCTTAGTTGGACCACACTGCTCACATCTCTCTATTCCAAATGCATGTTTCTGTATGGAAGGAAGGTCCGATCAAAGGCAAGGAGGTGGCAGAGAGCCACAGACATATTTGCACATGGAAATGTGAACATATTTGCTGGCCCAATTGTCTTCCACTCTTCCCACCTGGTATAAAAGAAGTGATAAAATGTTGGGAAGTTGCTTCTACATTTGTGGTCCAGAAACCACCGGGAGGTTGTCTTCTCAAAGCTTGGGCTCCTGCTCTCACTCAGCAGGGTCCGTCTGGAGACCGTTCTGGACCATTTGCCCTCCTCTTTCTGTCTCCCCTTCCCAGGCTTATCTACACAAACAGCTCCAACCCATTGACTGCAAAGAAAAGCAGGACGTGAAAAGAAAAACATCCCTCATCAAAGGCTGGGATCTCAAGGGACTCCTCTGCCCACCGCCAGCCTCATCACAGCCCAGTTTGCAAACTCTTAAAATAGTCGACTGATTTCTCTTAGCCTGGGAAATTTGCAGAGATGAGATTTTTCCCATCATGGGACTTTTCTGCAAAAAAAAAAAAAAAAAAAAAAAAAAACAAAAACAAAAAAAAACAAAACAAAACAAAAAAAAAAAACCAAAACAAAACACCCAAAACCCACACCTTTTTGTTGCAGAAAAAAAAAAGGAGCCCAAAAAGACGCCTTTAGTCCCAGCCTGGGAGAAAGATGGCATAGAAATAAAGTAAACAATTAAAAGAAAATAAAAAATAAATATAATGAATCCCAATTATGGCTGCATCTGCACTGCAGAAATAATGCAGTTTGACACCTCTTTGACTGCAGAAATAATGTAGTTTGACACGGTTTTAAATGCCATAGCTCCATGCTATGGAATCCTGGGATCTGTAGTTTTGTCAGATATTTAGCTTTCTCTGTCAGAGAGCTCTTGTGCCACAGCAAACTACAAATCGTAGGATTCCATAGCATGGAGCCGTGGCATTTAAAACCGTGTCAAACTACATTATTTCTGCAGCGCAGATGCAGATACAGACCAAACTGCTGCTGTTGTAGTAATGTGCCTTCAAGTTGATTCTGATTTAAGGTGACCCTCTGCTAGGTTTGTCTTGGCAGAGAATAAGCTTGCCATTGCCTTCCTCTGAGGCTGAGAGAGTGTGACCTGCATAGGGTTACCCAAAGGGTCTCCATGCTTGAGCAATTATTTGGATTTTTGCCCCCGAGTCCCAGTCCAACGCTCAAACCTGTATACCACAATGGCTCTTGTCTACAACATCATCTTGTTATCCTCATGTGAATTCAGATCAATATGGCAACCCCATCTTGGCAAGATTTCTTCAGAAGACCTTCCTCCACTTGAGAGAGTGTGACTTGCCCAGGGTTGCTGTAGTTAAACAGGGTTTGAAACCTCTGGTCTTTCAGAGTCCTAATCCAACACTCAAACCACTACATCATGCTGGTTCTGCAAGATTTTCCAGAGGAGGATTGCCTTCCTTTGAGGCTGAGAGTGTGTGACTTGGCTAAAGCACTCTGTGGGTATCCATGGTTGAGTGGGGGATTAGAACCCTGGTCTCCTGGAGTTTTAGTCCAACACCCAAGAAACCACACCATGATGGTTTCTGCCCTCAACCCTACTCTGATTTACGGTGCCCATCTCGAGGGGTTCTCTTGGCCAGATTTGTTGAATAGAGCATTACTTTCCCCTGAAGCTGAGAGAGTGTGACTTGCCCAAGCTCACCCAGGGTTTTGTTGTTGTTGTTTGGCTGAACAGGGATTTGAACACTGGTTTCCCAGAGTTCTAGTCCAAAACCCAAATCACTGTACCACACACTTTCTATTAGGGACAGATTGAAATCAATGGGATTTACTTATTGATTAATTACTATTCAGCAATGGCTTTATTCTAGTTAGGTCTAAGCAACAAGACTTGGGACAGTATGTTGTGCAAAAAATGTTGTGTAGCATTTTTAAAAAAACCTTTTTGCATAAAAGCAACATTTACCGTGCAGATAACTATATATTTTGTGCAAACATGCATTTTTTCCTCATAAAGTCCTGAAATGCAAAACAATCATGTAAAAATGCAACAAAGTAAAAACAACAACAACAAACAACAACACCAGAACTTCTTGTAGTTTTGCCCAGGGAGAACTTAATTGGATTTAATTGGGTATTGGATTTTATTATATGGATTGTGGGGTTTTTTTTTTAATTATTGTTACGATTTTATATATTGTATTTTATATGTTGTATTTTTCTATATTTCTCTGTAATCCCGCCTCGATCCATAGGGAGAGGCGGGAAAATACAAATAAAAACTATTATTATTATTATTATTATTATTATTATTATTATTATTAATTGAAATTCTTTGCTCTTGCATTTGAGGATAATGCAGGGCATACCTTAGCAGACTTAAGCAGATAGTGAAAATAAATAATAATTGTTCTTGTTGGGTGTCTTCAAGTCATTTCCGACCTATGTTGACCCTAAGACCAACATATCATGGGTTTTTCTTGGCAATACTTGCTCAGAGGGGGTTTGCCATTGCCTTCCCTTGAGGCTGAGAGAGTGTGACTTGCCCAAGGTCACCCAGTGGGTTTCATGGTCAAGCTGGGATTCAAACCCTGGTCTCCAGAGTCCTAGTCCAACGCTCAGACCACTGCGCCATGCTGGAATAACTTCCACCAGAGATTGGCCATAGAGTCATGATGGAGGACCTCCAGATGCCTAGAAAGATGACATTTTCTTGGACACAGGTATGTGTGAAACTACAGGTACCAATCCCATTGATAAGGGAATCATACTGTATATCCTATCCATGGGCTCCATGAGGATGCAGGGCAGGTTTTAAAATAACCGGCCACCGAAAAAATGATGCCCGACCCTGTGTTCCGTTACAGTTATTTTAATTTACTTGCTATTTATTGTAACTTGTTATTTTTATGTATGTTTTAAATTTTAATTGTTTCATTGTATTTTAAGAGGGGTGGGCTATTGGGGGACAGGACTGTTTGTTTTATCGTGTAAACCGCCCCGGTTGTATTTTACAGAGCGGGATATAAATAAATATTGTTATTATTATTTATTATTTAATAAA